TATATATATATATATATATATATATATATATATATAAATATATATATATATAATAAATAATNTAGTATATTATATATATATATATATATATATATATACAGGGTTTTAGTGGTTTTGGATATCATATATATATATATATATATATTAATGTTTACGTATATATTTGATATTTATATATAGATAGGCATGCGTATGTAAATAAGCTCGCACGTGAGCTTGTATGAATGGGTTCACTTTTACTTTCTGTTCTATAAGATGTCAACAAATTCGCGTTGAGGAATAAGATAGAATTCATATGGACATTGTTTATTGCAGTGTCGAAGACTAGTCTAGAGTGTGGTTTGACGAAGTATGATGGTGATGTACGATGTCTGTTGATGATTATTTCTGAGGACCGTTATACGCCTACTCTTCAGGATTGAAATGGGGTCGATATATTGATAAAGTTCCAGTCAGAAGCTTGTGACTCGACTTCCCTAAGCCCATCCGTAACTAAGCATGCACATTTAAGCGGATACCGATCCAATTAATAAAACATATGCATATTGTCAAGTATAGAAAGGTGTGGACCGGTAGCCAATATCGACATACATTCACTCACTGTCTTCGACTGAACTTTTCGGACTGTATCTGTCGCCGATTGAACTTTCCGGGCCGATTTTTTTCTCGACATGGTATCTGGGACTGTTTCCACATCATCGGCGGGATCGACGGCTGATGCTTCAGAAACAGCTCTCGAATCAGGAACCGTACACTGGGTGTCACCCAGCCATGTCTGTGCTGCTTAATACAGAAGAAATATACGAATGTTGATAGTAATAAATACGTATACGTGCAAACATATGAAATATATATAGATATACATATATATATGCGCTATATATATATATGTGTGTATACATATACATATACATATACACACACACACATATATATATATGTCTGTCAATATACATATTCATATTCATATACATATACATATACATATACATATACATATACATATACATATACATATACATATACATATACATATACATATACATATACATATACATATACATGTATACATATAATATACATATACATGTAGACATATAATATACATATAATATATATATACATATACATTTACATCTACACTGCCTTCCGGTAAGAATTTTGCGGCGGTGCACAAGATAAATACACTCATCATAACACAAAGTGATACATCATGCGCAAAGACATATCAATATGTGGCGTCAGTTTACAAAAGGTATTCTCACATTAGTTCGATCACATCGCGCCGCTCCAGTCAGGCACTATAAAAAGTACGTAGTATAAATCACCTTTGCCTGTGGCAACCTCCTTCTTCACTATACGAGGGTACCGAACTGTCTCAGGGTCGCGATCAGTCTTATCGGGGCATTTCTCCACAACGTCCACCTCTGTGATTCAAGTTTATGCAGGAGACGATTTAGAGTATGGATATATCTTCCGCATGTACTTGCAAACGAATTCAGTACTTTCTTCATACTCCTCACTTTGTCCGCTTCTGACATACAATACAATAGGATAATGGCTCTTTAAGTATTGATGAGCACATCCAGGTACGTTGGCTTGACAATGCATTATTTTGCAAGACATAAACAAATACCAATCTTGGTGGATACGACCCAATAGTTTTAGGGTACCCAATGAAATATAGTCATACATGTATTTGTTTTCTGCACAAAAAGTTCGATTCTACAAGGTAGATACTTGAACACGTAAACTAAGTGTTGAAGGAAAAGTGGACTCTGAAATTTAGTGGCGCTTTCAACTACAACAGGTGACGCTTCCAAACTGGTGTCTACAATACATGTACGATTACATTAAACCTGTACAGCATCGTTTTCAACACAAATTATAGCGTTTAAATTTAGGTATACACAGTGGTAAATTTATCATATATTTCTATATTCTAGTCACAGATAATGGG